ACCACCCCTTTTAAAAAAAAAAACCCCAAAAAACATTAAAAAAAAAAAAAAAAAAAAAACGTACAGAAAAGTAATTTTGGCCCTAGCAGCAGGCCTTAATCACAGCCATTTATCGGTTTACTTTTACCGCTGATACCCAGAGCCCTAATTTCTTGTTCTGGTATCACAGACACAGAAAGAGGAGAAATCTCCCCACTGGGGTCAGAAACAAATAAAAATCTACCAGACCTTTCAATAAAAAATAAGCCTTAGAGAACAGGTAGGCAAAATTCGGCCCTTAAGGCAAGATGACATATCCCATCATGCCTCTGCCTGGGAGTCATACCTGTGGCTGCTAGAGTCTTGCAATGCCTAAATGGGACCCTTTAGGCCCCTTTCACACAGGCAATCTGATCAGGTCCACATGTCAGTTTTTCAAGCGGACCCGATCAGGAATTGCAGTTTTTTTCCTCCATTGCAAGATGCAAAAAAAAAAAACCCTGAATAGCCAGGGATATCACAGCGGCGACATCCACTTCATACTGCTGTGATCAGAAGGGGGATCTGTGCATGGATCCTCTCGTGATCAGCCCATGTGAAAGGGGACGTAGTCTTACCATAGCTGAAGGGCCAGAGTGTGCTTACACTGTTTTAGGGGTTTCAGGACAATGGCTCCGGTCCTGGCTTCACCACCTGCTGAGTCACTGGTATAAAACAAGCATGCAAGGTGGTAGTTCAGACTTTCAAGACTTCAAAAGACATGGTCCTAGGTTTAGGTACCAACAGCGGTACAATTTTTTTTTTTTCACAACTCCGATACAAATAGAATGTACAATACAGAAGTCTGTGCAAGGGACAGGCTGTTGGCTCCTCTGATAAGAAACCAAAACAAATGGCTTCACATACATATAAAATGCTCCATAGCTAGAAGAATAAATACAGTCCTGTCTGGAAAAATGTAAGCTGTGTATAAATTCCATGAATCATCCTATCACTAGAATAAGCTGATAAACACAATGCTGCTGCTTGTGGATATTTGATCTACTCTGTGTAATGATATTTCCTTTGCCAAGGTGAAGTGAGCGGCTCTGCGTAGAACAGAAGGACAGCTGTTTCTGTCCAAATTATTCTCATAGTTTACACAGATTTCAGATTTTTTATTACTTTGCTTCATTCTACATCAAGAGCTGAACAAAACAAAAAAAGACTAATAAGTGTGTGGAAGGACAAAAAGAAAAAAAATAACTTAAGGTTATTTTTGGTCAAAA